GACTCCATGTGTCACTTACAGGTGGGACCCACTCTAAAAAATAAATGGAAAAAACTCTTACTCTCACCCCTCTCTCGCACACATACATGTGGGGCCAAACTAGGTAAAATAGAAAAAGAATTTTTTTAGTGACTTGTTTATTTTAGAATGTAAATATATTGTGTTAATTTAGTGTGGGGTCCATTGCTCAGCTATGTTTTACCTCATAAATATATTGTGCTAATTAAGTGTGGGCCACAGTCAGCCTCCCAACCGGAGCTTACACTCCGGTGTGATCTCGTGAATGGCGGCGATGCACCGGGAGCAAGCTGCAGAGGCGGGGCAGGGAAGGCATGCACACATGCGTAGAAGCTTGCTCACGGGAGCCTCTGGAGCACCCACACAACAAAACATTTCCAGGGAAGCACGGAATGTCCATGCCCGGCAGCCATGGCGGAGGACGAGGCAAACCTCACAAGGACGACACCAAAAGCTAGGAATCGAGCATTTGGGGTCAAGGGAAAGGAAGAGGGGATCACCGTGGGGATGTAGGTGTAGTCGTTGGGTTCTATAGATCATGAGAGGCCGCAAATCGGGGCCGGCGAGGGGCAGAAGGAGTTGGAGAAGATGGTGTTGACGACATCATCTACGTCCGTATACATTCAATCCCTTTGGTGGAGAAGGTCAGGGTGCCTCATTGGAGCTCCAAGACACATCCGTTCTTCGAGGGAAGGACAACCACCACGTGCAAGAAGTCGTTGCATCGTTGGAGTTGTTTTGGATGCGGTGGTGCCAGAGGGTGAAGGGTGAGGGGAAAGGAAGAGAGGGGGATGGTGAAAGAGGGCGGCGACGCCTGGGGAGCCAGCGGCGACGCCTGGAGAGCCCGCGGCGGCAGAGGCGCGGATCGATGGACCGGGATTCACCAGAGCGGAGAGAGTGGCTGTCCGGTCGTGCGGTAGGAGAGAGAGAGTTTTCCCTTTTTTTCTTCTTTCCTTTTTCTACTTTGGCCCCACATGTAAGTGTGTGTGTGTGAGAGAGAGGGTGAGAGAAAGAGTTTTTTCATTTATTTTTCAGAGTGGGCCCACCCGTAAGTGACACATGGAGTCATAAGCAAAATGTCCAGCAAACGTCCAAAGAGCGGCCAAGGTCCTTTGACTGGACGGTAACGGCACGGAAGGGCATTTCTATAGGTGCACCTAACGGCAAAGGGGCAAATTTGAGCATGCTTTGAAATTAGGGGTAAATTTGAGTAGTGGGTTTGAGTTAAGGGCACAAATGTAAAAGTCCCTTTTGTATTTCTTCTTACCCTTTTTCTTGAAGGTAGTATTCTGCTGGACAGTGTTCTTTCCCTTGAACTTGTGAAAATTCTTCTACATCACAATGGCGCTAGAAGAACCCTCTGCCCCTTTCACGTGTGAGTCCTTTGGTCTCATGTTCTGCTCAACACTTAGATGACCGATGACATCCTCAACAGAGAATTCATGTCTCAAGTTCTTGAGAGAAGTAGCAAAATTCCTCCATCTAGAAGAGAATTTTGCGATAATGCAACCCACAACAAACTTGTCCGCAACTCACACTTCAGGAGCTCCAGCTCCTTAGCGATGCACTGTAGCTCATGAGCTTAGTCCAATACAAAACGGTTATCAACCATCCTGTAATCATGGAACTGCTCCATGGCATACAGTTCGCTTCCAGCATCGGTTGCGCCGAACTTAACTTCGAGCACATCCCACAAGTTTTTGGCAACCCACATATGAATATATGTGTCAACCAACTTGTTTCCAATCACACTCAGAACTGCTACGACAAAGGTGGTGGCTGCCTTCCTAAATGCCTTCTCCTGTTCAGGAGCAATTGTTTCGATGGGAGACACACCACCAACCTAGAACACGTTCATCATAGTGAGCCACAAGGTGGTCCTTGTCTGGCAAGCCTTAATGCGTCCCAGTAAACTTCTCCGGTTTCAGAGTAGCGGCGAAGCCTTGAAGAAGTGCCTAACATAAGGTTTTGGGATTGTTGAAAATATAACGAGCAAATAGGGGATGAACGGATCATAGCCTCTACTTGGCTAGGCCAACGCGTCGCGTCGAGGCGAGGCGACGGAGGAGGAGGAGCGTGTGTGTACAACTCCTCTTCCCAAGCTCCCAATGGCATGTGGCACAGCAGCCCTTATAAAGAAGTCTCGCTCTTCTTAGTGTAACAGTATGGTACTAAACTTCTCGCCACTTGTCATGCATCTAAATAGGCCTTAGAGATTAATTAAGAATTATTGTCTTATAGGGACTAAAGCCCATCTATAATCCAACACTTTACAGAGCTCTAAACCTACCCCATTGCGTACGTATAGGAGTACATGACCATCTTGGAGTATAAGAGCATCTTCAGCCGTTGCGCCCCAGGAGGCATTTTTTCGCCGTTTGGGGGGTTGCCGGTGAAAATTTTGTTCTGGGGGCGAATTTTTTTCCACTCGTTGCGCCCCCAGGAGCAGGTGCACACCCGCGCCCACGGCCTTCTTGTGCTCGTAACCACCGAGGACCGCCTCCTCCACCAGCGGCGTCAAGCTCAACGCGCAGCCGGGCATCCCTGCACGGCCCCATCTCACTGCTCTTGGTGGCTAGCTCGGTCTCAAGGAAGGGCACGATGACGACGGTCTCCTTGAGGATCTTGTGCTCGAGCAGCTCGGTGCGCAGGCGGGACTCACGCTCCTGCAGCTCCTCGATGAGGCGGGAGAGCTCGGCGGCCTCGGGCGTCGTGGCCGCGCACGCCGGTTGCACCTGCGCGGAGGAGCGCGGGAAGTAGACCCCGAAGTAGCGTGCGAAGGAGCACGGGAAGGAGCTGCCGCCGCCCTTGCCCCCGGAGCTGGGCGGCGCGGGCGAGCACTGGCCCGAGGGTTGCTGCCCCGGCGTCGGCTTCTGCGGTCGCGCCACCGCCGGGACAGGGACGGCATGCTGCGACGGTGCTGGTGCCGAAGTCTTGCGGGAGGAGGTGGTGGAGGAGGTCTTGGGCATGGCCGGGCTGCGCCGGAAGCCCATGGCCGCCTTGACTCTGTCGGCCACCATTGCTGCGGCCGTGGAAGAACACACAACGGCCGGGGCTGAGGTCGTTGGGTGCAGCGGCGGCGCCGTGGGGTGTAGCGGCCGGGGCCGAGGCTGGCGGCGTCGTGGGTTGCAGCAGCCGGCTACGCAGCGGGCGAAGGGGGGGGTCGAGGCAACGGTGCCGGGACGCTCTGGATCGGGAGCACGAGCGGCGGGGAGGGGATGAGAGAAAGGGATAAATGGAGAGAGAGAAAGTGGGAGAGAGAGGACATGGTGGGTGAGAGAAGGACGTGGTTTTGTTTGGCTTGGTGTGGGAAAGTCATCGACAGTGGGCCAGAAAGGCAAAGAAAATAGCGCCGGTGCCCCCCAGCTGCCCCCAGGATCTTGGGTTTCGCCTGGGCTCGCCGGCTGTATTTTTTGACTGATCCGCGAAAAGTAAGATCGTGGGGGCGTGGCTGGGACTTTTTTGTCCGCCGGCACTGAAAAAGAGCTCCTGGGGGCTTCTTGGGAGGCAGCTGGAGATGCTCGAAGGCAAGGTGAAATAAATGCTACACTATCCTATATTTCCTAAATAAACATTATAGTCAACAAGATTAACCAGATATTATTATCTTATATGGGCCAAAGCCCATCTATAATCCAATACTTTACAGAGCTCTACACCTACCCCATTGCGTCGAGCCACAAGCTTAGAACTTGCCACACATAATCAAAGAATCTGACAACGAGCAAACACGTCCTAATCACATGCTCTCCTATTCTATATACTTCAATCACTGAGACAAGCCGGCAGAGGACAAGTTTGCTGTATATATAACACGTAGTCTACTGACTATTAGTGACAAGTAGTCTGTAACTTGTCTGATTGTCTTACCAGTCTGTAACAATGGTCCTGAGCTGGCCCTTTCCTTACCTGCTTCGATGGATCAACCAACACCTAGATCTCAATCATCCACGACATGACCAGCCTTTTGCTAAAATAATGAGAATCAAAGCAATAGGACTGGTGAGAGAGAGTCTATGAGGCCAATGATTAAAGGCAGAGGAACACACACAGAGGAAAATTAAAGTTAAGGGCAGGGCATCCGATCCGAGTAAATTCAGAAGAAACAACAGCCATCTTTACCATGCATGTTCCTCCTCCTCCATCCATCCATCCATCCATCCATCGAGATCTCGCATCATCTCACGTGGGCAAAGGTTAGCGAGGGTGAAGTTTCGCTTGCGGCTTCGATGAGATTCTGCATGCCCCAAGTTGTCATTTTGGAATCATGCATGTGCTCTGGACGAGTCATCTGCTACTGAGTACTTCTACTGACTACTACTGACCCTGACCTGAAAGTAGACAGCACCGACATGCTACGCTGTTGTCATCAGTCCTGGAAATACTTCAGGAATGGAGAGCACTTTGTGGATTTTGTTGTGGGCTCGCTCAACCGACCGACAGAGGGCTCAGCGGGGGGCAGGCAGGCCCCGACTAAAATTCCTAAAATACTTTTGGACGCTCAAGGGAAATATATATAAAAATTCTTTAGAGGGCACACACAATAAAATCTCCACTCAAACTTTCAGCCACACTGACAAACTTTGTCGGACCACCACTGTGTGGGCATGTACTCGTAACGTAGCGGGTGATGGCAGGCTAATTGGCAAATAATGCTCGAAGAGAATCAATAGATGAATAAGAGAGATCACAGAACAGAAACAGATAATTATATGATCTATGCAATTCACAGAGCAGAAACAGATAATTAAACTATATAAAGCTAACCGATTATAGCCTGGTCGTCCAACTACGCAAACTCCTTGACACGTCTAACAGGGAAGAAGATGAGTTCCTATGATACAGAGTGAATTGCTCAAGTAAAAAGACTTCACCTTCGATATCTATACTGCACTATTCGGCCTTACTGGCTTATTCCGTGAAGTACAAACTCCAAACTATCACACAGATCAAACATAAAGAATCACAACAGCAGCTCCTGGTCACTTCACGGATTGCAAATGCAAATCACTGTCACGTTTCCTCTTCAGCGGCAGCAACCTCGTCGTCACCTTAGCGGGCTGCTGTTTCTTCTTCACCCATTCTTCTTCGGCTTTGGCCCGGCGCAAGCCCAGATGCGCCGACAGGTTCTCCACCTCCACCTTCACCACGTCCTTCCTCACCCCAATGTCGGTGATGTACCTGCCGGCGCAGTACATCCCCGCCGTGACGGCGGCCATGCCCAGCGGGCCGGCCGACATGAGCCTGAACGGAGTCGAGAAGAGCGCCGCCAGCGGCACGCCGACGGCGGAGGCCGCCTGGCCGCTCCTCCCGATGCCCTTCTCCGGCGGCAGCAGGAGCCCGGTCTTGCAGTATAGCGCGAAGTCCTCGCAGTTGTTCTCGAACACGTCGTAGCTGCCAAACCCGTTCTGGAGCAGGTACATCGCCCGGTGCACCACGGCATCCGCCGGGTCGGACGCGGCGGTGGTGCAGGTCCCGCCGCGGAGCTTGGCGAGGAACACGGCGGGAGGGACGCCGTACTCGAAGCCGTGGAGGGCGCCGTCGCGGAGGAAGCAGTCGAGGCAGGTGAGGATGACACCGCTGTCGGGGAGCTGGAAGCCGCAGTCCGGGAAGGTCGGGCACTCGGGTGAGCCGGCGGAAATGAGGCTCGAGATAGCCACGGCGGAGTCAAGGCCCGCCGTTCCCGCTTCTTTCTTCGTTGTGAAATGCACCACCTTGCTTCCGCCGACGTAAATACCTGAAGAAATTGAGCATGACATGAAATTCGAGATAGAACAAATTCACTCATCAGTGACCATAGTACACGCTACACACATACATTCTCTATTCATTTTTTTTGCTTTTTATCTTAATTCCTTATTGAATGGCTACAAATGAATACTACTACTCGGAAACATGCCAGCTTTTTTATGCAGGTTTAGACATGTGGAGAGTGACCCCGTGTCCCCATGTATGTCCTCCGGTACATATGTCCAAGGAGGGCATCTGTATAATTGTCACTTGAGCAGCTGGGAACGATGGCTGCAAATGCAAGGGAAAAAGTACCATGATGTCCCTGCATGTAGCCAGCGCATAGCGACACCACGAAGAAGAGTCCTTTATGTTCCCAAGTGTGGATTAAATTACGGCTGATGAAAGAAGGTTAAAAATGGAAAAAGATGCAAAGTAAAAGAGTCATGGTAACGCAGCAGCTAGCTGGAAGAAGAAGAAGAAGAAGAAGAAGAAGAAGATGCATGAAGGCATCAAAGTGGAAAGAGGGTCACTTTGGTCATAAGTAATAAAGGTAAGTAAATGGATGCTAAGATCGACACTTGAACACTGGAAAATTACACATGTGTAGTCACCAACAGTTTGTGTTAGATCATCAGTCACCAACAGTTAGTCTAGGTAACAGTTCTGAGTTATAGTTGCACAGAAAAGAGAATTGTAGAGCAGGTGAGCTAGTAGCATTATTTTTCTTTTCGCTGCGTGGCATATCGAGTCCGTTTGGATCGTCAAATTCTGTCAGTGTCTGATCTAAAATACTTCCGAGTGGCTATTATCTTTTCTGCCAAAGCACGTTGCGAAGTTGCAAACTGAAGCAAGATCCGCTTGGGCAATTGTACTGCTACTAGTTCGGTCATTAAATTTGGGGACTGTATACAATACAGCTAGACAGCTAGTAAAGCCAATCAAGGATGCAGCAAATTCGACGGGACCCAGAAGCGTACCGACAGAAATACGCGTCCGCTATTAGGGAAGCCGACGAGGACGCTGAGCCTACTGTACGGCCAAGCTGCTCCCGGCGTAATTAACTGCGAGAATCTGCTCGCGGACGTACGTACGGAGGGGATGGAAGCAGAGGCAGAGCACGAGCAGAGCAGTGCTGAACGAGCAAGGCAAAACCGGTGTCGAAGCAACACTCCATTCCCTCCAGGTCCGAGAACGAGCAAGGCAGAACATAGCAGTACGGTTAAGCTGCTGCAAATACACCCCAGCGCGATTAACTGCGAGAATCTGCTCGCGGACGTACGTAGGGAGGGAATGGAAGCAGAGGCAGAGCACGAGCAGAGCAGAACGAGCAAGGCAAAACCGATGTCGAAGCAACACTCCTCTCTCCGCCGAATTAGCCGCCCGGAAACGCGAAATGCGGCGAGAAGGATGGCGGCCCCAACATGCAATTCACACGTACCGTGGTGGGAGTAGGAGTAGGCGGCGCGCCATGTGTAGATGTGGTCGCCGGGCTTTAGCTCCGACCGCTCCACCCGGTGCGACAGCAGCCCCATCGCTCCCCCGTTCGTTCCGGCAGTGTGTGCGCGCGCTCGCGCCGGAATTACGGGAGCTGGCGAGGCGCGCAGTGGCACCGAGTGATGCGAGGAAGACGCTGGCTCTCGGCTCCGCCCGTGGCTACTGGCTGGGCTGGGGGGGAGGTCACGCTTGCCGCGCGATGGCTGGAGGGAGAGGTGAAGTGGGAAGCGTGGGATTGAGCTAGATATCTTGACACCCGGAGGCATCGGCATGTGTGTGTGATCCGGGGTGCAGCCCTCGGGATTCGTGCGCGATCTCGGAGGGTGGGTGTACTGTCCTACGTGCCCTTCTTTTCACTCAACCAAGTATTTCGTTTTCCCAGTGGACCGCTCCTTCTTCTCTATAGCATGTAAATAAACGGCGGTGTAAAGACTGGACTATTTTAGATGTATATTCTTTTGGCAAGAAGATGCTGAAAAAAGGTACATGCTGGTCAAATGAACATGGTTTGTAGGCCTAAAGACCAAGATGGCATTGGAATTCATGACCTGTAGGTCAAGAGTGTGTCCCTACTTAGTAAATGGTTGTTCAAACTTCTTACTGAGGATTGTGTTTGGCAAACCATGTTGTGCAACAAGTATCTAGACCAAAAGGCAGTGGCTCGGGCCTATTGGAAACCTGGCGACTCGCACTTTTGAGCTCGTCTAATGGCGGCAAAGAAACATCTCTTTCGCTTTGGGTCTTTTGCGATAAAGGGCAGTCGGAAATTCGTTTCTGAGAAGACATATGGCTAGGCAATGCCAGTCTCCGAGAACTATACCGAGCCTTATACACCATTGCTCGCGATAAAATTAATACTATTGCACACGTGCTCAGTTCGTCTCCGTCGAATATTTCGTTCAGGCGAGACTTGATTGGCCCCCGACTTATGTCATGGCATAATCTTTTATCCCGTCTGGATTCGATTAACCTGACACAAGGCCGAGATGTTTTTCGCTGGAACCTTACTACATCGGGGTCTTTCACAATAGACTCTATGTATCATGCGCTAATGCACTCTGAGGTACCAGTGAGTAATAACAAGAAAATTTGGAAGTCAAAGATTCCAACTAAAGTTAAAATCTTCATGTGGTATATTCGTAGGGGAGTTGTGCTAACGAAAGACAACCTTGCACGACGCAACTGGCCAGGAAGTAAGTAGTGTTGCTTTTGCGCTCATGACGAGATAATCAAGCACCTCTTTTTCCTATGCAAGTTTTCACGTTCTACATGGTCAGTCATCCAAATAGCGTCAAATTTGTATCCGCCCACAAGTGTTGCCAATATTATTTGGTCATTAGTTGGACCATATTTCAAATAAGTTCAAAACGCTAATAAGGGTGGGAGCGTATGCCTTACATGGGTCGCTTTGGCTATGTAGAAATGATTTAATTTTTAATGACAAAAATGCTTCTTCTCTACAGGTTATTTTTCGTTGTACGCACTTGCTTCGTATGTAGTCTACGCTACTGAAGCACAAGTGCTTCCTTGGTGATTTTGGTAATTAATGTCAAAAAATCTCTTGTTGGACTAATATTTCTACTTAATATATTTCAGATAAGTTTAATATTGAAGTGGCCTGGACATGGACAAGAGGATGTGGAACCCCTTCAAGATGCTAAGGACAAACATTGGCAGAAGCTCAAGACTCTACCTTTTTATTTAAGTGATCCAAGATCACATTGAGTCCATAGGAAAGCCAATACTATTAAAAGGGGATGAGGTGCTGCTTAATGGCTTGCTTGCTCAAAGTGCTTAGTGATATGCTCCAAAACCCTCAACTATTTCTCATATCCATATATGTCTTAAACCTAAAAGTCAAACTCGGCCCCATCGATTTGATCTATTCGGCGCCTCCGAGTTCATATACATAGCCACTACCAAATCCTAATCAGTTTGGACTTACCGATGGGATCTCGGTCTCACCGAGATGGGCTTGCAAATTCGCTGTGACCTATTGCAACAAAATCGGTCCCATCGAGTTTGTGCAATCGGTCCCACCGAGTTTGCTTGACTAATACTTAGTTTGCTTATTACCAAAATCGGTCCCACCGAGTTTGTGTAATCAGTCAAACCGAGTTGAGGTTTTACCCTAACCCCTGCACATCGGCCCCATGGAGTTGACCTTGTCGGTACCACCAAAAATCCTAACGTTCACATTTTTACCTGAATCGGTCTGACAGTGTTTTACCATTCGGTTCCATCGAGTTTGGGAATCTATGTGTAACGACTAGATTTTGTGTGGAGGTTATATATACCCCTCCACCCATTCTCCATTTGTGGAGAGAGCCATCAGAACGTGCCTACACTTTCAACATTCATTTTCTGAGAGAGAACCACCTACTCATGTGTTGAGACCAAGATATTCCAATCCAACCACAAGAATCTTGATCTCTAGCCTTCCACAAGTTGCTTTCCACTCAAATCATCTTTCCACCATAGCCAAATCTGTGAGATAGAGTTGAGTGTTGGGGAGACTATCATTTGAAGCACAAGAGCAAGGAGTTCATCATCAACACACCATCTATTACCCTTTTGGAGAGTGGTGTCTCTTAGATTGGTTAGGTGTCACTTGGGAGCCTACGTCAAGATTGTGGAGTTAAACCAAGGAGTTTGTAAGGGCAAGGAGATCACCTACTTCGTGAAGATCTACCCAAGTGTGGCAAGTCCTTCGTGGGCGATGGACATGGTGGGATAGACAAGGTTGCTTCTTCGTGGACCCTTCATGGGTGGAGCCCTCCGTGGACTCGCGCAACCGTTACCCTTCGTGGGTTGAAGTCTCCATCAACGTGGATGTACGATAGCACCACCTATCGGAACCATGCCAAAAATCTCCATGTCTCCAATTGTGTTTGCACACTCCAATCCCATCCCTTTACTTTCCGCTGCTCATATATTCTTTGCATGCTTGCTTGAATTGTAGTATGAATGCTTAAAATTGTGCTAATTTTCAACCTCAACTTGAAAACCTTAAAAACTGCCAGCTTTATTTGTTGAGGGTCTAATCACCCCCCTCTAGACACCTCTTCTCGATCCTTTCAATTGGTATTAGAGCGTTGGTCTTCATTGCTTTGGTTTAATCACCATTGGAGGAAGATGGATGAGTCTACATTGGGGAGTCTTAGACGTAGAGCGCCTATGCTTGATGGAGAGTTCTTTAGTGAGTGGAAAAATGAGATGCTTGGAATTTTTCATGAATATCACTTGAACAAGTACATTACTACTCCTTATGAACCCCTTGTTGACCCCTTGCATCCTACCCATGATGAGTCTCTTGACATGATTCGCAATCTTAGAACTATCAATCTTATCACTAGAGGTTTGCCTAGAAACTTGATTGGTCACTTGCCAACTCTTGATTGTGCTTATACTATATGGAGATTCTTGAGGAACGATTTTCAGACTATTTCTTGAAAAACTTAGATGAGATTCTTCATAAGTCTATTACTTTGAATAAGATGAATCCCAATGATCCTAAGTTTGGAGATTGTTTATTTGAGCTTACTAATCTTATGCGTGCCAAAGGAGATGTTGGAATTATTAGCAATATCATTTCCGAAGCTATTAGAATTCATAGAGATGAACATTGTCAAAATCATATATCTAATGAATCACTCCCTCTATGAAATGATCATTTGCAAGATGATGTTGAACATGGATACTATGATGAGGATGATGATAGTGATCTTGATCTTGAAGAGTCTATGAGACACTTTGGTCTTATGGCTCACCTTCGCGGCTACATGGCTGGAGGAAAGGAATGGGTCCTTGATAGTGGATGTACCGATCACATGACCAGAGACAAAGATATGTTTCGTGAGCTTGCTAAAAATGACGGCCCTCAAAGTATGTCACTTTTAGTGATAACTCAAAGGTAAGGTGATTGTCCTAGGTAAGGTGGCCATTTCACATGACAGCTCCATACAAAATGTTATGCTCATTGAATCTCTTGGCTATAATCTACTATCTGTATCTAGACTAGCTGACTTTGGATTCAATGTCCTATTTACTAAAGTAGATTGCCAAGTGTTTCGAAGAGATAATCATAGAATGGTCTTTACCGGCATACGTAGAGGTGATATATACATTGTTGACTTCACTAAAAAGGCTTAACCTAGAACTTGCTTAATTGCTAAATCTTCTAAAGGTTGGTTGTGGCATAGACGGTTAGGTCATGTGGGCATGCGAAACCTTGACAAGCTTATTAAAGGTGATCATATCCTTGGTGTTAAAGATGTCATATTTGACAAGGATAGACTTTGCAGCACTTGCCAAGCAGGAAAACAGGTTGGAGGAAGCCACCCCGTGAAGAACATCATGACCACGAGGAGACCGCTCGAGCTACTTCATATGGATCTTTTCGGTCCCAATGCCTACAAGAGTCTCGGTGGTAACTCGTTTGGATTGGTCATTGTTGATGATTTTTCAAGATTTACGTTGGTGTTCTTTCTTGATGATAAATCATAGGACCAAAAGATCGTCAAAAACTTCGCTAGGAAGGCCCAAAACCAATTTGAAGTGAAGATCAAGAAGGTTCGCAGCGACAACGGAATGGAGTTCAAGAACGCCAATGTGGACATCTTCCTTGACGAATAAGGGATTTCACATGAGTTCTCGGCTACATACACACCTCAAAGAAATGGAGTTGTTGAGATGAAGAACTAGACGCTCATCGAAATGGCAAGAACGATGCTTGATGAGTACAAGACGCCAAAACACTTTTGGGCAGAAGCGGTTGAGACAGTTTGTCATGCAATGAATCGTCTATATATTCACAAGCTACTCGGCAAGATGGCATACGAGCTTCTCATCGGTAACAAACCCCAAGTTGGACACTTTCGGGTATTCGGCTCAAAGTGCTACATTCTTGACAAGCATCGTCGTTCGAAATTTGCTCCTAAATCTCATGAAGGTTTCCTACTCGGTTATGTCTCAAACCTCACACTTACCGTGTCTACAAAAGTTTCACCCGAAAGGTTGAAGAGACGGTATATGTGAA